TAAAAGCGGAACAGAACAGATCTGGAGTCAAAACCTCCGAAAATACTTCAAACTAACTACTAAAACTAATATACAAGCTAAAATGGAGACGGGATATGTAAATCCCGAAGTTGGGATGGAATGGGATGATAAAAATGAGAAGAATCGTGCTGTATTTATAGGAACGGAGCCAAGGCGTCCAAGCCAAAGCGTCCAAGTCCAAGCGTCCAGATCAGGACGCCTGAGCTGTCCCGGCCAACCAGATTTTGCCACGTGTCATTCTTGGGCTGCAATTAAGCCAAAGCGTCCAACTCCCAAGCGTCCAACTTGGCCAAGCGTCCAAGTTGGACGCCTTAGGCCCTTCCTTTGTTGGGCTTTGCGGCTGGTTCGTGATCTTGGCCCAATTTTGCTCCGTTTTGGTCCCGAACACTGTTTTTGACCTCCCGGAAGCTCGTTCAAGCCCAAATCTTGATCCCTTGATGATTTATTCCCTTTTTCTCAAGTATTTGAACATAAAATGGATGATTTATGATAATTTCATGTGGAATCCCTTTTCATGACTCTTAGAACGAAAATGAGAGTTTTATTCATTGAAAACACATTTTATGAGATGATTAAATACTATTTACGTGCAATAACGTTTAGAATATGATGTAAATGATAAGAACAAAATGGACTTATCAATAACATGGCAGCCTCTGTTACTCAACATTTAGACACTTGGTGGGGCTCAAAAATACCCTCTAAGAGACCTACGGTCAGGGCTTATTTACAGCACTGTATTCCAGTGCTTATACTTTGGGAACTATGGGTTCACTATGCAGCATTAATGTATGGGGAAGGGCAAATTAATGTGGCTCGTGTTATTTTCAAAGTGAGGAAGGGTGCAACAGAGGTGGTTTGTAGGAAATGGCCCTCACTTTTTACTTCCTTTACTGACTGGAAAGCTATTTTTCATCTTAAAAGTATTTTACCCAAACATTTTCATTTTAAAAAAGTCTCTTGGGACTCCACCCGGGCACACTATCAAACTTAATGTGGCATATTTGCAATCAAACCATAGAAGTGGGGCAACAGCTGTGATTTGGGATTCTACAGGGACTTTTCTATTTGCACAAAGCATCAGGGGCATGTTCACTAAAATGGAGGCAGCACTTGATATATTAATTGCTATTATTCCTTGGTGTTTAAATGCTGGTTTACACAGAATTCAATTTGAGGCAGACTTTGAGGAACTGGTGCAGCTTCTTAACCTTGTTGTTCCTCTAATTGCTATGAACAACTTCAGCAGGTTGGCTTTTTTGTTATCTTGTTGTACTTATACCGCACATATCTGTGAGCATGAGGCTAATATGGTCATAAACTATTTAGTTAAGTGGTGCAATAATCAACTCCATCCATGGGAGCTCGGTGATATTTTTGATTTACCTGCTGCCTACTGTCAAGTGTTATGCCAACATGATATTCAATGCATTCCTAGCTTTGCTGCTTCTACTTCGACTTGATTATGCAGTCCTATATTTCTAGGGATATGGAGAACTTGGATATTGAGTGCGCTCAATTTCCTTTTCCTATCTGCTAGAGGGGATAGTGTTTGCTTTCTGTGAGGAGGTTTTTAAACCATTACTGGTTCTACTGGGGCTAAGGAGAAGTTGGATATTATAGGTGCGCTTATAATATCTTTTCCTAGTCTTGGTATGTATGGTTTGTGAAGTGAGGAGTGGTTGACTCGAATGGGTTTGTATTCCTCCCTTTGGAGATGATTACCACTCCTCTTGTGTTGTCATTCTTCTTTCTCATGGCCTTTTAATGACACATTACCATGGTGCACTTCTTATCTTGTGACATTGGTAATGCTTTGGTTTCGGTTGTTTGTTTGTTTGTTTTGACCGTATGTGGCATTGGTCATGCCGTAGTTTTGGTTTCGTATGTTTAGATCTTATTGTGGCTTTGGTCAAGCCCTAGATTACTATGTTGGTAGTTAGGACCTTCTTGTGGCTTTGGTTAAGCCTTATTCTAGGCTTCCCCATCCTTTCTTTACTTATTGAACTCCCCGGAAGGCATGTCTTCTTATGAGGGGCTGGCGTTACGCCTTGGTTTGGTCCTCCCCTCACTTTGTGGTAACGAATATATCTTAATAAAACTCGGTAAGGGTTGCCTAGACCTTACCCCACCAAGAGTGGTAGTTTGCCCATTGGGAGTTGAAAAAAAATATGGAATTTACTCGGAAATCTATTAATTTTTAGAGAATTTGCCATTCTCCCAAGTCCAAATCTCAAAGTTTTAATTAATTACATACTCCTTCTTATTCGGGTCGGTCCGGACCAGTTCGGTTTTTTCTGTCCGGTCCTGGCAATGTTCGAAAAGGCGGAACGAAAACCCGCCTCAAGGCGCGCCTCGAAGCTTTTTTCCGAAATTCCGCACCGGTGCTAAACCCGATTTCACGCGATAGGCTTTCTTACGCAATTCTTAGAAAGGCGTACGCCATGGGGCGTACGTGCCGGTGCGCGCATTGAGGCTTACGCAATTCAACGATAAGAATTTAGAAAATTAAACAATTAAAATTTTGGATATTAAAGGTTAAAATTGTCAATTACTCCAATTAATTAACCCAATTAAGTGTATATATGTTAAAATTACCTTTGTCTAGTGTCGATTACCCTAATTGTTTTGTCGATTGCCTTTCTGCAACCCACGAAGCGTCTCCAACAGTCCAGCGGCTTCAACCTTCTTTCTTCGGCGAAGGTAATCTCTGCGTCTTCTTTTTCTTTCCACTTGCGTTGATGGATAATGGATGATGATGGGTGGTGGGTGGTGCTTTATTGCTTTTTACAGCTGTCCTGCCTGTCCATTCTTTTTATCTTTTTATAATTGTCAAGTTGCTGTTTTTTGTTTTTCTTTTTTTGTTATCTTTTTGTGAAGTAGAGTAACATTCAATTGATGTTTTTTATGAGTTTATGATTGATATTTTTTTCAAGCAATTGGATCGGCTGATTGTTTACCTGTTATTCTATTAATTTATTTTTTTCTCCTTTTTGATAATTGATGTGCTAATTGTTTTCTTTTTTTTAAGATGAATTATTGCATATTATTGTATTATTTATTTTGGTTTCAGATATTAGCATATTGCTTAAATGTCGGACCCAGCATGGAAATATGGTGTTGACTCAACACCCAACATCGAAGGACAAAAAAAAAACTACAAATATGTAAACTGCAATTTTTGTAAAAAAGATGTCAAAGGCGGGATTAGTCGATTTAAGCATCATCTTGCTGGTACAAGGAAAAATTCAGCACCTTGTAAAAAGGTTCCTGATGAAGTTCAACAAGAGATGTTATCTACTTTGAATTTGGCCGTACAAACGAAACAGGTGAACTTGAGAAATCGGGAGGAGGTCATTGATAGTGGTGCGTACTACCGAAATACAGAGGCAAATGTTGGTTCATCAAGCGGTGGTAGCAACTCCAATAGAGGAGTGAGCGGTCCAATGGATAGATTTGTTGTGGATGTTAATGTTGATACTCCTGAGAAAAACCAATGAGCGAAAAGGAAGCTAGAGATAGAGTTTGCCTAGATGTGGGAAGATTTTATATTGAGAACGGTATTCCATTTCATGTTGCAAATTCTCCTTCGTTCATAAACATGTGTCGTGCAATTGGAAATTTTGGCAGGGGTTTTAAGCCACCTACACCGTATGAATTGAGCCATTGGATCTTGTGTAACGCCCTGAAAACCGGTCTAGAAATTTTAACTTTCTAGTACAAAGAAATGATTTTAAAAAAAATGTTACTTTTTATTTATTTAAAGATAATAAAATTGGAATTTAATTCTAAATGATCATTTTTTTTAGCGGAGATGAAAAAATAATAAAGTGAAAGGGAATAAAATTAGTTTTGGTTCTCTACTATCTAAATAATATAGTTTAATTTGTTCAAATGAACCTATTTTCTTGACAAACAGATTATGTCAAAATGATGTGTGAAAAATATGGTACTTAACGGTATAAGTTTTATATTTTTCCGGTAATATTTAATAATTGGAACTATGGAAATCGGACACATGCTACTAAACCAACGGAACAAGAAAACCTTTGTTTTCTCCCTTAATTCTCACGCCTAAACTTGTAACCTCTTTCCCATTCATTTAACATCATTAAGGGCTAATAATGAGCATTTAGTTAATTTTTAATTAAATAAAAAAATATATATATATTTTTAAAAAAAAATAAAAACCATCCATTTTCCTCTTCCCTCCACTTTCTAGAATCTTCTTTTCTTTCCTATAAATAGGGACTCATAGGAAGAGTGACCCATCCATCCATGCCATGATCACTTGAAAGAAATAATACATAATAAAGATTGGTTTAGAGGTGTGTGAGTATGTAAGAGTGGTTTAGTGGCATTGCCATGGAAGAGATAGAGTGGCATTGGAGATGCAGTCACGGAATAATCTCGTCGACACCGTCAAGTTGTCGTTTTGTTTGAATTGACCCTAATAACCTTTAGCCATATATTTCATGTTCATCTATTTTAGTGCATTTTTTTATCATGTTATTTACCCAAAGGATTGATTCGAGCTTTATTTAAATAATAAAAAAAAGAGAGATCGAACGCCCCACTCACAAATCTCTATCCTAGAAGAT